AGCATCCCAAGGAGGAAAGAACTGGAGTCAGCACCGGCCAAAGAGCCAAAAAGAAGAAAACGAAGAAGAGAGAGGTCTGGTCATGGTGGGGCTCGATTAATTTTCAGGAGCTGAAATGCCTCAAAGACCAGTGTCAATGAATGTCTGCAGGTCTTCTGCACCCCCCTAAATGAGGAGTCCCTCCCGAAAAGGAAACTGATCTCCGGGACGTCAGCTGCTGAGAGGAGAGAGCAGGAGTCCCATACCTTAGTTGAGGGAACCAGTATAGTCCCCTTTGTAGCTTCTAACCCAGGATCATGAACTCAGGTGCCTAGAGAAGCCAGGCAGCTGAGTGACAAGGAATGCTGGGGGCAGTGGAAACAGGGATGCACATACCCTTTGAAGGAGCATTCCTGCTAAAAGAAGCTGGAAATGTAGACTTACGTGAAGGGCTCTGATTTTTAAATATTGTGAAGGTTAAGGAAAACATAGATTTAGGTCTATGGGCTAGATTTAGCCCAGAGTTGCCAGCTTCTAGCACTACCAAATGAATGAATAAACATCAGCTTGGGCTCCTAGCCATCAGATTAAACAAACAAACAAAAAACCTTATGCCTGAGCCATTCCCGAGGATCAACTAAATCAGACTTTCTAGAGGTGGGCCTCAGGCCTCAGGATTTCTGATGGCTCTCCAGGTGATTCTAAGATGCAGCCAATGTTAAGAACTAGCACCATATTGATAAAATCGTTGTTTGCCTATATTAATATTACCAAGCAGAAAAAAGGCAAGTCCAACATTTTCTGCCTTTTTCCCTGATCTCATCTGTTCTCTGTACCACCACCACTACCGCCACCCTCTCCTGAAAATACGTGATCTCACCTATTCTCCAGTATGTCTACTCATTTAATGCCTTGGTTTCTGGAGATGCCTTGTCTTTACCCAGATGGAAGGTTTTCTGGCAGGATCTCACAGGTCTCCAGTACATAACATTGTTAGGTATATCAGCCAGTAAGGTAGGACAAAATACAGGTGGAAGGATCCAATATTTTATCATTACCATCAGTGTCTGACAGATATGAGGTGGGAGGCAGCTGGAAGCAGAAGGTAAAGAATTCATTTAAAAAAATGTCTTGAGTGCTAACGTCTTTGTGGTTCACTATGTGGGTCCATGATGTGATAGAAAAAGGAATCAAAAAAAAAGATCAATCCCACACACTGAGAGTCTGACATGGTTCATAGAATGTAAACTGGTTTATACCATGAGAGATAAAGATGCTATGAGAGTTGGGGGATTGCAATTAGGATGGGGAGTGATTTCTAGCCAGGAGATTATGAAAGGCTTTGTTGATGGGAAAGGAACCTTGTTTATTGGAATCTTTGATTATGGGAGACGAGGTGGCAGTAAATATGACTGTGGAAGGAGGTGTCCTACCCCATATTTGAAGGTGGAAAAGCAGAGAGAAGTTGTGTTTGGTGTTACAGGAGATTCCTGCTTTCTCCTGGTCCTCACAGCTTGAGGGTATCCTGCAGTCACTTTTTCAGGATATGTATTACATCACCCCTGAGCCAGGTGTAGGCACACTCCTGATGTTCTGGCAGTGGGCAATAATTTGAGGAGTCACGGTAAGATCTGAAGATGTGGGAGTAGGAAGAAGGGCATTCTCAGAGGATATGCCCTAAGTAGAGATGAAAAGGCATGAAACTGTGGAGGATGGGCAGGAGTTCCATTTCCTTCCTATGTGAAGGAGAAGAGGAGACATCAATATTTGAAATATTCTGCCATTCTGGTAGTTTTGGAACTATTCCCATCAAAGATTTGGTTAAATCTTGACCAGAAATTGTGAGAGTTCAGTTGTCTGCTGTTTTACACTTATAATCTAATATATGTTTCCAAAGGGTTGGGTAGTAGATGCAGAGGACTCACTAATGCATTTACGTATTTGGGTCTTGAAAGGCCCCGAATTAAATCATAGAAGGGGGAACTTGGAGATAAAGAGATCAGCCATTTCCATGGTGGTGACAGCATTTTTCCATGAGGTGCAATTTTGGTCACCTGCCATTTCCTATACTATTATTTTACTTTAATAAAAAGAAGATAACATCAGCCCTGTGCAAGTTAAGAGTAAATTTGAGTCTGAAGATGAGAAATATCTCTGTTAACAAGAACGGAGCAATCTGTGCAAATCATTCCTCAGGAGTCAGGGAAATGGCAACCTGCCAGCTCAGAGGCACACAGAGCCCAGGCGGCCCCACAGCTGTCTCTCAGCACTGCCAGCCATCACCATGGCAACGGCCCCTCCCGGGAGAACAGCTCAGCTCACTGAAACTGCCCATCATTTTAAAATTAACAGAGATGATTCCGGATGAGATTGTGTGCAACAACAACAAAAATCTTATAGAACTGCCCTTTCTAAGGACATAATTCACACAATATAGACTGTGAATTAGAAGAGTGATTCTCAAAATTCAGCATGCTTCAAGCTCATTTGGCAGGCTTATCAAAACACAGATTGTCAGAACCCCACCCCCAGAACTTCTGATTCAGGGTGGCTGGGGTAGAGGCAAAGAATTCGTATTTCTAGCAAGTTCCCTAGAGATGCTGATGATACTGCTCTGGGGTCGCATTTTGAGAACCACTGGGTTACATACGAGGATCGTGTCAGTGTTGATTTCCTGATCTGGATTACTGTCCTATGCTTATGTAAAAGAATGTCCTTGGTCTTAGAAAATACTCACAGCTGTATTACACTTAGGACATAAAGCCATCATGTCTGAAACTTACTCTCAAATGATCACTAAAAAATGTAGATAGATAAAGCAAAGGTGGAAAAATAACAATTGGGGAATCTGGATAAAGGGCATATGGAAGTTCACTGTGCTATTTTTGTAACATTTCTGGTAGTTTAAAACTACATTAAAATTATAAATATTTTTCAATTAATACAGGGAAAGAAAGTTATAGCAATACATGCCATGTATGTCTAATATGGTAGCAAGAAGCCACATATGGTTAAATTTAAACTAATTAAATTTAAACAAAAATTTAACATCCAGATCCTCAATTGCACTATCTGCATTTCAAGTGCTAAAGAGCCATGTATATGACTAGTGGCTGCTATATTAGACAGCACAACTATAGCCCATTGCCATCAGCACGGAAAGTCCTATGGAATAGTGCTGACTGCAGTTCAAAATGTTCTAAGATTTGGAAAGAGTCTTTGGAAAAGTCCATGTCCTAAAAGCAGCAGTAGAGGTAGCAGTAATAGTTCTAAGCAGTAGGAGTCATTTGTTTCTAAAACAATACAGTTGATTAACTAGAGGAGGCTGAAGAAGAAATATGATCAAACAATAGCAGGTGGATCATAGTATCCAAAATACGCATATGCAAGTATCTGTAGTTTTGCGTGAATTGGTGACATATTTGCCAGAGTAACTATTCAATATCACTAATCGCACCTGTCATCATCTTACTGATTTTCTCAGCAATCCATTGGATGAAGGACAGGCAGACACCCAAACTAACCAGTTTTTCTCCACTCACCCTCTGCCCTGTCCACTTTCCTGCAAGCAGAGCAGGGTCAAGACACAGATGGGGAAATACCCAGCAAGGTTGAAGCTGATCTGCAGGGAAATGGCCAAGACATGAAATCTTTCAAACTTGTTCAGATATTTTTACTTGGCTATTAGTTTCATTTGGGGTAATACGTCAGCTAATGTGCAGAGCAGGCAAGGTTGTTTTTGCTGCTATTCCTTTTCCTTCTGAACTTCTTTTCTTTCTCCTGTCTCTTCTTTTCTCTCTCTCAAACAAATGGCACATTCAAAGTTTCTGACCCAAACAGGACTGCCTTCTACTCTAAAGAGCATCTTTTTTCCTCCCGAGCATCATGTCTTTTGGGCTCCAGCAATATCCAAGAGATGAGCTGACTAAATTCATCCTAAAGGATGAACAGTACCAAATTCTCCCAAGGTGCATTTGGCTAACCCTAGCTTCCACAATATTCTGGGAGATACTTTTGGAGCATAGTCATCTTTGGTTATTCTCTACCTGACCCAACCTCTGTCAATCCCCTCTCTATAACCTCTCAGGAGTAAACAAACAGATCAACACTGCAGCCACATATTGTCCATTTTTCCCTCTCTTACCTTTCCAAGCAGTTTCACACTCTCTTGGGGCTCAGTAAAATACATAGCTATCACTTGGATATAACACAGAGTTGTTAAAAAAAAATGTAAAACCTGAAGCTGTAAACCACAAATTGATAAATATGAGGAATACTTGTGGGGAAAAAAAGCCCTATTTCCATTTCTAAACTTCCACTGAAGAAATTAAACCATACAGCTAGAATCCAAAACTCAGGACATACACCTCTACTCTAACCAAGCATCCGTTAGAGCATTTAAATGTCCATCTAAGCATCAGACCAATCTAGGTTTGCCCCTCCCCCTATCAAAAAAGTGTTGAAGAATTCTTCTGCAGCAATTTCTCCTTTTTAGTTTTTTTTTAGAGATAGGGTCTTACTCACTGCCCAGGCCCAGGCTGGAGCACGATGACATAATCACAGTTCACTGAAGGCTTGAACTGCTAGGCTCAAGCAATCCTCTTGCCTCAGTCTCTCGGCTAGCTGGGACTACAGGCTCATGGAACCACGCCCTGCTATTTTTTTAATTTAATGTTTTTGTAGAGACAGGGGTCTCACTATGTTTCCCAGGCCTGGACTATGAGTTCTCTCACTTTGACCTCCCAAAGTGCTGGGATTACAAGTATGAGCCACCGCTCCTGGCCTCCTCCTAAAATAGATTCGTTTTTACTTAGTTTGCCAGCAGAAGGAAAACCCTTCCTTAGAAACAACTTTTGTCAGTTATCTAGAGAGAATCATTCCTAGCTGCAAGACGTGGGATCCCAGGTCTTTATAGTTCAATTTATGGTTTGATACTTGCACTTTTAAGATCTCCTTACAGAAGGCTTTTTACCATGCAACATATTTTTATAAAGACTTCCAAGAGAAAAGGAGAGTCTCACCTCACAGTACTCCGTGATAATGCAGAAATTATCTTGCTCCACAAAACTTGCATGGAACTTGACAATGGCTGGGTGGTCCAGCTTGGAGAGGAGCTGAGCTTCCAAATTGGCCTGAACAGTTTCATTTGGATTTAGTTCTCCAACAGAGATTTCCTTCAGTACCTTTCTGCAGGCAAAAAAAAAAAAAAAATTAAAACCATTTAGAGCTGAAAAACACATTTAACAAATATCAGCAAGTGGTGCAGAGCCACCTAATTAATGCCTAGGTTGTGACCTACTCTACATATCTGATATTGCCTATTATGAAACTGTGTCTCCTGGTGGGACCTGAACCTGTTTTTCTGTCCTGTTTCCCCAAGGCCTCTGACCTCCACATCTGTGTACCCTACTGTTCTGTTAAGGGCAGACTTGGAATTAATCTTGAGCAACATTGCTGTGGTGGCCCTTCCTCCACCTCTCTGGATGTTTCAGTCTCTCTTGGTTTCTCTTATAGTTATCTGTGTCTGTCTGTCTCTTTCTGTGTGTGTTCATACAGACACACATACACACACACACACATATACACACTGACACATAATCCATAACTCTGTCTCCCTGTATCTTACTCTTTCTTTGCCTATCTTTCCTTCTGCCTCTGCCTCTTTCTGTGTCTCTTTGCCTCTGTGTGTATTTACATGTATTTACACACTTTCACAGGCATGCTTCTCTCTCTCAGCTGTAAAATTTTCCAACTATATCGACAATACCAATAAGAGCAATATCTATTTATGTTCTTTTTAAAACTATTCTTGGCATATCATACTTTATTACGAGTATTCAAAACAAAAAACTAACTAAAAACATTAACAGAGATATTTAGTATTTCTAACACGTACAAATGAAAGAAGAGCTCATTAAATTCCCAAGTCATTAATTTAAAAATTGTGATAACTCTATGAGTAGATCAAAACATTATCTCTTCCCATCTAAGAAAAAAAGAGTCTGATGAACAAATCCATTATAGTACCAAAGTGTAAACTAGACTGTTGGAAAAAATGCATTAGAATACCAATTATGTTTGCAGACAGAGTCTGCTGATTATAAGTAAACACTGGCAGTTCATTAAGGCAAGTTCTGCAGGACCTGTACTAGAAAACATTTTACAAAAATCTTCTTTAGGAGTTGCTACTATGCACACCAATAGAAATGTATTAGAGTAGAAAATCTCTTTAGGCCCTTTAACCAACACATAGATTAACCATCATTCTCCAGTCCTTTGCAAATGCTGACAGATGCCCTTGCCACAGGGAATGCCTCCAGCTGGTAAGCGCTCCTTGGCATGCCCATGAACTTCTGCCCTCCCAGTTGAGATGTGTACTTACTCAAGTCGTTGTGTTTATTCCCAAGCCTGTTAATGCCCGTTGTGCTCATCATTGTAAATTTATGACTTCAATATAACATAAATGGATGAAGAATGAGCATTAAGAGTTATCTTTGCTAGGAAAACTAAGTCAAATGATTACCAAAAAAAAAAAAAAAAAAGCCATCAAGTAACCTACAAGACAGTTCTAAAAAAGGTTAAAAATGTGAAAATCCAGTATTCTGAATTCCGATTGTTACAGAAGATAAACCTGGAAAACTAGGTCCGAAAAATAATATATATCTTATGGGTGTAGTTTATGCAAAAAAGATGGAGTCTCTAACCAGAGGACATTAGATGTTGGCTACACAGCCAAACCGGAAAAAATACACAATGATATATCTTAAGCTGATGTAAATGTTTTAATTAACATTTTATTTTAACATTGTTTCCTTTTTTTAAGCCAAGTACCAGCTCCAATCACATTGATGAGAAGAGCTTCTACCATTTTTTAAACTGTGATTATACTATTAACTTTTCACTAATTCACACCAGCCTCTCCCTCTGTTTTATGATGGAAGAATCGTAATTTCCTCAGGCATCACCATAGGTAGCACTTCCTTCGTGTTTCATATTCAGGGTTAGAAGTTTTGATACTCCAGTCAGCATATCCCAGTTTTCAGTGAAAGAATACAATTAAAAGAAAACTCATTACAATTCTGAGTTAGGAAATCTGTCCTAGAAGCTGAGAGCTTAAGCAGGAAAACATAGAAAGTACCCTTAGCCTACTCCGGGGTTGGGGAACATTTGACGTTTCTCCCCAGAGCAATAAAAGCTGGGTTAAGCGTCCATTCTCCAAAAATCTCATGAGGAAAACCTTCTAATGCAAGATGACCATTACTGGGAGGTCACTTACCCTAAAACTTGAGTCTTTTAATATTGTCTTCACTTTAAATGTCCTCCTTGGTCTTCCCATTGTGAACTCATCCCATCCCCAAAAGAAAACCAACAGCAGGCACTGGCCGCTTCCACAAAGAGCAGCCCAATTTGCATGATGAGAAAGAGCAGCTGTGCATCAGAAGCCTCACAAGCAAGGACTCCACCATACCATTCACAGGTGTCTTTAAATCTGACTGCAATAAAGAAAGCCGGAACATTTGGCGCCCTTCCCCGAACAGGTGTTTTCACATTGGTTTTAAATACCCTATTAGGATCCTACTTAATAAGTAGATTCTAGAAAAATGCTTGCTTGGTAACCTTCTGTAGAAAGACTGCTCTATCAAGAATTTGGTTTAAAATGACCTAATGTTATTAGGAGTGGCATTTCAGACTGCTAGTACGCCCAAAGAAGCCTGAAATGACAAACAAAACTATGTTTTTTTGTAACTGCTGAAGATTACAAAGCAGCAGGCAAAGCACAATGACATCCTCGTAGAGCTTGTTCAGTAACTTACTGTACCCCAGCTAGCATGCGGTTATAAAAGTCACAGTGGTTAAGCATGACAATATAAAGGCTTACAAACTCGCAATATTCACTTGTGGTGAAGGAACAAATGCTATAAAAAGCTTCAAGATGCTTATTTTTCCTTGCAAACACCAACGATTGTGCAGCAGAGCATGAGATTTTACATATAAAATGTAGCTACCTGAGCCCCGACTGGCACCCTGACGATAAAGCATACAATCTTATTTGCCCGCAGTGTAGCAGATGAAGGTAGGGCTATTAAGACAGGTGGTATCTGTTATAGTCATCTCTAGCTGACGCGGAGACATTCACCTTCCTTGCCTGAAATCATGCCACTGAGCTGACAGAGGAAACTCTCCTTGCATATCACTTAATATGAGATCCGTATCAGCCTAGGACAGCATGGAAACTTACCAAGTCAAGGACAGCTTGTCACTTGCTCAGTGATTCTCAGCCTGTCACCCCTCCTAAATAACATGACATATTTATTTTATCAGAGCCTCAACTGTTCGGAAGAAACTTCATGACAGTAGTAAGACAAGGCATTCCCTGGAGACGTACTCATTTTGCAAACTTCCCAAGTTACATGCTTTCTGTCTTTCTAGAATCAGTGAACTGACAAACTTCAGAGAATGACTTTGGAAATCTGGAAAAGCTATGGTTCATTTCATTCCCTTGAAAAAGGTCCACATTTTGTAGAAATGGGGAAGATCATACTTTTGAGCTATTAATTAAGGATTATTTTTCTCCAAATTTTCACATTTTCCCCATTCAACCAGCAGCATACACTGCTTCAGGAAAAAGAGGACTAAAGAGAATATGAGTCAAACACCTGCCTTTTGACTTTTTAAAGGCAGGACCAAGGCTAAAGAGAAAGGATCTGGAGGAACATATGAATGAGGAGTGGGTGAGCATTCTTCCTGCTGCCAGGTGAGAAAGAGATCTTTCTTTAGACCAGGGGAAGGGGAGAGGGTCAGAAGGCAGGTAAAACAATTAGAAACTGCTGAGCCCTTGAAAATAGTTGCTGTGCTATAGGTCAGGTCCAGAAAGGCAGCTAAAAAGAGAACTTCAAGATGGGTACGAAGAGCAAGAGACCTGTGCTCTTCCTCCAAAGTAGGGCTTAGAGGATTCTAAGAACCCCCAAATTTTCTTGTGTCCCGCAAGGGTAAGGAGCTGTAAAAGGGTCTCTAAGGGACATGTAAACAGATGAGCTTAAGAGAGCTCCAGAATTACTGATATCCCAGTAAGGCATGGGGAGCGGCAGAATGACATAACATGCATTCAACAGCTATCTCAGTGAGGGCCAGTCAGCTGGTAGAACTGGAGGACTTTGCAGTTAGAGACAGTGGTCCCTTCCTTTGTGATTTCACCATTAACATCCATTACAGGTAACTAGTAAATACCTACCACATGACTACAGTGTGGTGGGCACTGAGGAGTCATAGCCCTGCTTTTGCGTCTACTAGGAAAGATAGATAACAGGTAAATGTGGATGAATATGTGTATATATATCATGTATGGTTGTGTTTTTTGAAACTCAAATTGAGATGAATGCTATAAGGTTGAGGTAAGGATATCTGAGGCCTTTCTGATTTCAAAACTGTGACCCTGATGTGATCAGCAGCTACTGTACACACCTAGCCTAAGCCACAGGAAATTTTAACTTCAATTTAAAGAGTAACTTTTTGGCTTTGGCTTTTGCTTTTTTTTTTTTTTTTAATCATTTGCCTGTTTTACAAAGACAGATTATCAAATATAATCAGGAGTTTTAAGATTTTTTCATCCATGTAATTATTTTTATCTACCATTCTTAAATGGAAAGGTCTCTTTTTTCTAATTTATAAGGAAATAGTTTCATTATGGAAAAATTTGAAAACACAACATAAGGAAAATATTACCCATAATCCAACATAAAGACAGTCCAAATTAACGTTTCTGTGTATTTCCTTAAAATCTTTTTGCTGCATGTATTTCTTAATAGTAGAGGCCAAACAGCTTACACAATTTGCTTACTGCTGTTTTCATGAAACATTATTGTAGCAGACACTTGTCATTTGTGGCTGCCCACTTTAAACAGCTTCCTTACATGGTAGCAGATCCCTGGGCTGTGAATCTCGCCTCCCCTGGAGAGAGAAAAACAGATAAACCAACCCTATGACTCCCAGCCTCCCTTGAGCTCCCTGGTGCTAAAGTGTGACCTAGGTTCTGTCAGTCAGCTGCATCCACCCAACACTTTGATGTGGGTGTGAGCTGCATAGAAAAGCAAGGTGCCGCGGGGTTCTCCATTTTGCAGATATGTATGTCATCAGAAACAGCATGGCCGTGGCTCAAGGGCAGCAAGTCACTTCACTGGTGATGTTCT